GGACCGCATCTCAGTGGACTTTCTGAAGTCGGCGGTCCTACACTGTCATCAAGCAGCTCACCAAGCGCTATAATAAGTACCTGGACGAGCAGAAGATCCCGGACCAGTGGAAGACGTCAAATACGGTGCTTTTGTTCAAGAAAGGCGAGCGCGATCAAATGAAGAACTATCGTCCCATTGCGCTCCTCTCACAGTTGTACAAGCTGTTCACGAAGATTATTCTAAACAGACTGGAAAGACAACTGGACGACTACCAAGACATTCACCACCATCCGCTTGTTTCAACGAGAGCTACGCGTGCCGATTGAAAAAGGAGTCAGGCAAGGTGACACGATCTCTCCCAAGCTATTCACCACCGCCCTCAACCACGCGATGCTACAGCTGGACTGGGATGATAGAGGCATCGACATCGACGGCAAGAAGTTGTCTAACTTACGCTTCGCAGACGACATCGTCCTCATCAGTCAAGACCAAAAGGAACTACAGCAGATGGTGGAGGAGTTGGACGATGTCGGCAGAGCCATTGGCCTCACGATAAACCGGAACAAGACAATGGTCATGCGGAACGAATGGGCAGATGCGTCACCTATCATACTCGGAGGCGCCGCACTCCCGGACACCGACTGCTATGTGTACCTCGGTCGACTCATCTCCGTGGACAACAACTTGCGCGCAGAGATCATGAGGCGCAAGAAATGCGCATGGACGGCAATGGGAAGCATCAAAGAGGCGGCTCAGCTCATCTCGGACAAGAAGATACGAGCTGACCTATTCGACTCTACGGTACTGCCCGCACTCTGCTACGCATCCGAGACGTGGGCGGAGAACAAGACGTCTACGATGATGTTGACTCGCGCACAAAGAGCGCTGGAGCGGACATTGCTGAACATTAACCGCCGGGAGCAGAGAAGCCGCAATTTGCGCAGCACAGACATGCGCTTAATGTCTGGTATCCGTGACGCCGCAGTGTATACGTGGGACGCAAAGAAACGATGGGCCGGACATGTGGTCAGACGCATGGATGATCGGTGGACCACACGCGTTACGTTCTGGTATCCACGAGACGTGAAGCGCACACTTGGCCGTCCTGCAACACGATGGAGAGACTCCCTGAAGAAACTTCAAGAAGATGCGGGCCAACACTGGGCCCAAACCGCTCAAGATCGTCAAAAATGGAGGGAAGCGTGTGCTCGCCGCTGAGGATCATCGGCTGACAACGAGCATCCAAGTATCCAAGTAACTAAGTAAGCATCATGCCATCAGATAGGTGATGTTACATTCAGAATGAACAACTTTAGCCTGCGCGTGGATCGTCTGCAAGATCATCCTCATCGATTTGAAACCGTTTGGATAATGAGATTTCCCAGGCAATTCACCGTTATATCGGAGTGGTACGCCTATTGACCCGACTGTCGCACCACTCGAGCCTCGTTCTAATGGGAGCAGAGGCGTCTCCGAATAGGGTGCAAGGGGGGTGGGCTCATCCATAAATGAACGCACAGGCCCAGTATGAGGTTGAAGTTCATAGCTCGTTTCGTCTTTGCCGTTGCGATTGGACCACTAGCTCAGTACCCTATTCAGTGGCAGAGACTGGGTCAATCTCAGCGCTGGTCTTCTCTGTTGTCCTTCCTTGTTACAGAGTTCATTTGAGGATCGTAATTCATAATCATCCTACTTACTATAAAGCGCTTCGTCTGTCGTTGTCTGTCGTTCTGTATGTCTGTCACGAAATTCCCTAGCTCCTCGGGATCCGCCTGGAGGGACCGGGTCAAGTGTGGGATGGGTGGGCAGGGTCTCACGTAATACAAAACACACATCAGCTAAGCGGAGCCCCGCCCACAGAGGGCGTGGCGTGCGTCGAAATGAATTGTACCGAAGACCAAGATTTCGATTTCAGTGACAAAACGACCTCGAAACTGGGCCAAAAAGTGGGTAAAGGTGTGCATTGGTAAGTCACATCGAATTAGGGAGACCCACCCCCGGTGGGCGGGGCGTTCTCAAAAAAGCAGTGCTTTATGAAAAATTTCATAACTCGGTTGGGAGAAAGCCTACAGAGCAGAAAACAATTTGGTGTAAGGGAGCAATGTCTAAGGTGTTTCCTGCATACATGACGTGGGCGGAGGCCCGCCCAGAATGGGCGGGGCGCGCTCTGAAGTGTACAGCATTTTCTACAAGCCCTCATAATTCGGGTCGGGGAAGTCCTAAAGAGCCGGAAAAAGGTGGATAGAGGTGTATGGAGGAGTGGAGGCCAGCTGTCAATGGTGGGCGGGGGCTTGACCAAAGTGGGCGGAGTTTGCGAAAAATATAAAACTCGGCTCCAAGAAGTCCCGGAGGCCGGGAAAAAGGTGGATGGAGGTGGGTGGAGGAGTGGAGGCCAGCTGTCATCGGTGGGCGGGGCTTGACCAAAGTGGGCGGAGTTGCGACGAAAATTCAAAACTCGGCTCCAAGAAGTCCCGGAGGCCGGGAAAAAGGGAGTAGAGGTCGGCGAAGGAAAGGAGGTCAACTGCTATTAGTGGGCGGAGCACGCACCTAAGTGGGCGGAGTTTGCCAAAAGTGTCGTAATTTGGTTCCAAGAGGTCCCAGAGACCGGTGAAAAAAGGGGTAGAGGTCGGCGAAAGGAAGGGGGCCAAATGCTATTGGTGGGCGGGGCACGCACCGAAGTAGGCGGAGTTTGCCACGAGATTTATTGTCCGGAAGCAGTCCGGAGACCGAGAAAAAGAGGATAATGGTTGACGAAGAAAAAAAGGTTGAAAGCCGTCGATGATGGAGCGGATAGAATTTAGCTGAGAATTCAGATATTCGTATTGTATCAAGCCAAATTTGAAAATTTTCGTCGCACCATCAAAATTCGCCGCAGATCTGTGTTGCGCGCGCAATGCGTGCGGCGCCAACTGGTTCATTATAGTCACTGACCTATTTTTATTCCTAGTTGATTAACCCATTAAGGGCTTGCGTTTCCGAAACCATGCTGTTAAGGCTCTTGAAGCATACTTCAACATACTAACGTATTTCGCAATGAAACGGTCTTAGACGGAAGAAATTTGAAATTGAATAGAAATGCGACAGGAATTATGAGACAACCCAATAGAATCATGATTTCCTGGGGAGGATTCCCTCAAATGACCAGTAAAAAAATGCTCTCTGCAGGCTTGTTTCTATGGAGTGAGCCTAGACCTTTGGAGTTAGTGATGATTTGAAATTCCAGGTTCATTGCTCCCGATACCTTCGCATCGAGATGTTTCACCATGCTTTACGGTGCCTTATTCTGTCCAATAACCTGGATTATCATTCGTGATATCGGGCAACTAGCGCTCGTCTATCTCACCACTGTCTATGCTCGGCTGAAATTGAGATTGTGAGGTTGATCACATGATCCTCATATTTGTTGCCCCATATTATATGTCAATCTTCAACAAGTTCAAAATTTGATTTCTGTAAAACTAAGGCTAAAAAACCAGAGAAAAAACAATTAAACATTGAATTTTGCTTTCAGCACGAATGCCGGCGAAAAGGCCGATCAAGTTTTCATGGTCCCTATATCTATATGCTTAGGAATTTGCATACGTAAGTGCAATTTTAAATAATGCTTTATAATGCGTAATTTCTAATGATTAGCCGATTTTATATGACTTCCTTTTTCCAGTAATCATGTTATTTGCACCTTATGGGTGCACTCCTACGATGCATCAGATGATTATTCCTTTTATATATCACTACGAAGTTATACGAATTGGGCTTGGCGATGTCATGCCTAACAATATTCCGGTTTGTCGAAATTTTCAGGCCATTTTTGCTGTCCACAACAAATTTCTTACCTTCTGGTTCTAGTTCGACCCAATTATCTGCTCGGTGGTTTTCTTCAGTTTGCCAATGCTTAAAGGTGATCAACAGAATGAGCTTCCTTGAAGAAATGAAAACGAGTACACGGTATGCATCAATTGATATTACGAATTATCATACACTATCGATGGTACCTACAACTTTGTTGAAATCCTCTTCTTACAGAAAGTATTTGCTGTAGTAAGTCATAAACTGCACACCATTTGCTACCAGTTGAAGAAATCCAGGGTCGAGGTGAGCCAGGAGGTCAGTTTTACGTAGAACAATCCTATTTTGAGGTGAATGTTACAGGCAAGTACCGATTCCTAGACGATCGAAGCTGATGACATGGCCGCCGAACGAGGTGATTCATTAAGCCTTCAGGCTTCCTATATTCCACCTCTTCACAGGACATTTGACTGTACCAGCATACCCTGTTGATAAAATTGTTCAAAGTACATCTTCAGGCTTTATTACTAAATCAGTTGAACGATCCACTTCCATATCATACGTTTAACGATTGTTTTCCGCGGACAGTTAGAACGCGTGAATTTGCGGAAGTCCGATATTGCATCCGAATGAAAAATGTATTTGAAAAAACTGTTACGTGCATGCTTGCTGAAGATTACAGCCGATATTATATAAGTTATTCACATTATAATGTATCATATTTCACGATATTGCACTGAGCTATGTAGGTACTGTACAAGAGTGTTTGCCAAAATGGTTTACCAAGCATTCCATTCTCTAACCCTCAGAGGTTCAGAATTCGATAGGACTAGAAGGCCAAGCGTTTCAATATTTGAAGGGAGCTGTCAAGTGGGAAAGCCAAATCCTGCCAGACAGAAGGCCCAAATATACCATTCTTTGTAAGCGTCCGAAGACCCAACAAGCAGGTGCCTTTCCCTATCCTCCATTGCGCATTAACAGGGTGCAAAAATTACGAGTACCAAGAGCGCTAACCTACAAACCGATTCGCTTCGCCAACCACCTAGTTAAATCATCAGGCTGAACAGACTCCGGAGAGAAATCACTGGAAAACACCCAGCAAATAGACCGCTTGTACACAAAGCAAATATTGTGCAACATTGGTTTTGCAGAACTTTCCGAATTCATGACATTGAACGAGGGGCAACCTTATTCTCCTCATTTTAAAGCAAGTGGGTTATTTTCCGTGGAGTCTACTGAAGACGATGGGCTACTACGAGTATCACTAAAGCATCGACGAATTAAAGAAGATCCTAGGGTAAGCTCGATGTCACCTACCTACACAACAGGCCATATGCGTTCCCGAGATGACTTCATTCAGGTATAAACGCAAACAGCGGCCAGTCCAAGAAGTGATGTTGTATTCTGTCTGGTGACCTTCCTATGAATACATTGTTGGGGTCCACGTGTGTCTTGCTGGCCGAATTGCTCTTCCATGAACACTTTGATTCTGTTACCGGTCCTTTGGCCACGCCTGTACATACAAACATACCTCTCATTCGCATGTCCTCGTTTATGTAGGTTCCTCAATGATGTTCCCTCTCTCTCAGAGGACCTCTGTCTTAACTGTTAGCTCGCCTAGAAATCAGTAAGGATAAGAGGATATCATTTCCCGAGCTTAATTTGGTAGAAGTCAAAAGGTTTCTATCTCGTGTATTCGACTGCAACGCCTGACTCACGCGATTCAACCGAGACACAAAGGTTCTAGAGAGACAGTTTTCATATGAGAAAGGGCATCTGTTGCTGTTAA